TTCTTTTTAGCATTTTTTTCAATTTTCTGAATTATCACAACAACAGGAAAATAGAAAATGCTAAAAAGAATTAAAAAGACGCATGCCCAGACGCCAGACGAAAGTGTTGATCAAATGGCAGGGATATAAAAAAAAATAATTCCTGGGTTAAGGAGTATGAGTTACAGGATATATAAGAGGATAAAGGGAAGATTCATTCATTTTGTCCAAGACAACCATGCAGTCAATATCATGCTCTGTCTGCCAACGTAAATTTTCTAGGTACGATAACATGAGGAGGCATGAACGTATTACTCATGGAAAGAGCCAACCATATCCTCAGACCACTCATGCATATCCTCATCGTCAGGAGATGATTACCCCTCCTCCTCCTCTTCCTCCTCCTCCTCAGCACTTACCTCCTCTTCAGGACTCTCCTTCTCCTCTTCCCTCTCCTCCCCCTCCTCCTCAAGATTTGTCTCTTCCAACAAAGACATCAGAAGATGAGAAATTTAAATTTATCCATCCCTTCACAATGATTGTCACAGGACCGACAATGTCTGGAAAATCCACATGGATCAAGGAACTATTAATTCACAATAAACAGCTCATAAGTCCAGTACCAGAGAGAATGTTGTGGATTTATAAGCGATGGCAGCCTCTTTATGATGAACTAAAGTACTGGATTCCTGGTATAATATTTATTCGAGGCATTACAGAAGAAATTAATTCAGATACAGTTATCAACCCTCGGGAAAGAACTCTTTTGATCATTGACGACATGATGAAGGATGCAACCCAGGACAAGGAGATCTGTGAGCTGTTTACAGAAGGTGCACACCATCGCAACCTAAGTGTGATCTGTATCATGCAGAATTTGTTCAACAAAGGAAAAGAAAATCGAACCATGAGTTTAAACAGTCAGTACATAGTTCTGTTTAAAAATCCCAGAGATAGACAACAGATCGGAATCCTAGCACGGCAGATGTATCCAGGAAATTCTAAGAAGCTTCTAGACGTTTATGAAAAAGCTGTATCTATCCCATACGGAGCATTAGTGTTAGATTTAAAGCAAATGACCCCGGAATCAAAGCGATTCCAGACGGACATATTTGAACCATATATAAGAGCGCGAGACTACTTTGGATATCATTTGAAAGCAGAACATCAAACACAGAAGACGTTTCCAGGTTATCCGTCGTACTCTCAAACTCTTCACACCGACGATCAAAGCGAGGAGATGGCTTTTCAGAGACCTATGCAGGATTATCATGAAAAAGATATGTTGTATTATCAAAGAAAACCAATGGGAGCTGCTGATTATCTTAAAACTTATCCTTGGCCATCGCAACTTAATTCGAGAAATATGCATTTTGACGAGAAATACCCATCGTGCGCCGAATGCGGAACCATGTATGCCAGCTCATATGATTTACAGCGTCATATCAAAAATGGTTGCCCAATGGATGAAAATACAGATGAAAACGACACCATGTCTGATGTCAGTGACGAAGATGATGACAAAGGATTCGCCACTCTAGTCAATGAAGTATGGGAGGAAAATCAATCTCAGTTCGAAAAAAAATTTTATAAGCTTATGGAGGAAAATTCAAAACTCTCCAAAAAGGAAGCTCGAGAGGAAGTAAGCGAAGTGATGTTACCCAAAGACAGAAACTTACTTTTTAAGAAGTACAAAAGAATTCTTTTAATTTTGGCGCAATTGAATCGAAGCAAACTCCATCGCGACATCAAGAGAGATGTTTCAATCCTTATGGAGAAAAAGGATATAAATCTGGAAAGAGCGGTTTCCCGTACTCTTAATAAATATAGACATGAGTTTGATCAGTTGTTGGAGGTTGATGACAGCTTTTACCAGGATCATTCCGAGGAAGAATCTGACGACGGGGAAAGGGATGAATAATTCACGTACAAGAGATTTGATATTAATATGTAACAATAAAACAAAGTCTTTGTTTAAATCTAATTCTTTATTATCAAATTGACATGTGATGATGAAGATGTATTTACATATTGTGTAAAATGCATGCATCACACTAAAAAATATACATAGTCAATAAATCTATATGACGAATTAGATATGTCTTGTTATATAACCAATTTTCACAATTCATGGTTCATGGTCTTACTCATGATTATCAAATGGTCCGATTTTATAATGACCGTGAGCAAAGGTGTGTATGCCAGAGTGAAGAACTGCTTGTCATTATAGGGACTTGAGCTACATGTATCGTTCTTTTACATACAGATTCATTACTGGTCATGTAAATATAGTTAATAATGAGGACCTAAAACCTCTTATTTCAAAAGGACCAAAATTTAGGGACACCCCGTTCCTTCAACTGACGTAATAAATTTATAAATATTATGAATTCAGGCGATGGGTCAAACATGAAAAAAGAAGACTTTGACACTTTGGCAGAATAGTTCAAAAGTATCAGATGGATGTTGAAATCTCGCATTAAGCGATTGAGGGGCAATATGCTAACCCTCTATCCTTCTGTATTAAATAATTCAGAAGTGGAAATAGAATTAGATAGATTTCACGATCAGTATGTACTGGTCCCACCTGATAAGTAGGTAATAATATACTCTCTGTTTGTAAGACTATATTAGTTTCATTTATTAATTAGTTTCATTGTATTTCAGATGAACTTGGATTTGATTCTGCTCTGCAAGTGGTAATCCAACCTATACTCTTAGTTCCCTTTCGAAGGAAGAATGTCTGTATATCTCATATACTTAAAATATGTACAAGTTATTATTTACAAAAATATCTTGTCGTAAAGAAGGGGAGGGGTGTAATTAATTTGTTAACCTGATTATCTAACTTTAAAATAAATGAAATATATATATAAACAAAGATTTGAATTTTTTACATAAAAATTTAAACAATGAATAAAATATCTGAGCAAGGATTTGAAATCTTAAATAAAATCGTAGACTAGCAAAATCCAGTTTACAGTGAGAATTCATTTTGATACAAATGAAAGTAAATGTATCATCAAATCGTGTTGTCAGAAACGTAGTTTCCGATCTTAACAGTTTTGTGTTTTCATAGATTAATCATGACTATTAAATGATACAAATCGGAAGTATGGCTTTCGATGATTGTATGTTGTCATTGAATTGAACTAACATGATCGACTACACCTTACAAATTTAAGAGAAATTTTCTCAAGATGTTTCATCAAAACCCGATTCAATAATATCTGATGCATTTTCAATTCGTCTCTTGGAACGACATCTATTTACTCCTATCTGCATCCATTCCCTTGTCGATCTTCATAGGGAATATTTATAACAGAGATGTGTTTGCTAAAATTAACACGTTTCTTCATCCTCTCTTTTTTAAATCATATATATTTATATATACTCTAATGATACAGATAATAAGTATATGCTATCCTTATAATCTCTCATTCGAAAAGATAGATCAAGTTGTTTCCCGGATTAAGCCAAAACTCCTTCATTATTAAACATTTTCTAAATTTCTATCTGTATTTTACATTTTTTTGTGATGAATCTGAGTTTAATTCTTTTACAAGTAAACAATTTGATTTTCTCTACTTGTAATCTCTCATTTAAGAAGATTAATCAATACTTTCGGATCAAGTTGTTTTCCGGATTACGTAAATACTCCTTCACAATTTTCTTCCGGGTTCATGATGGGTTCATTTTGCTCCTCACTCCTCAAAATTGCTTATTTTGCATCACTCTATACTACTTACAGGTACTTGTGGACAGGACCCCCCCCCCCCATTCAACCCCGGGGCTTGTTGGACATTTTTTCCACAAATTATATTTATTACACTTATTCATCATGTGTACCATAGGAAAAAATTTGTGAAAACCCCAAAACAATCGTTCAGCACAAAAATACCCCACTATACATTATAAGAATGTATATTGGGGTATTTTTGTGTGGAACGATTATTTTGGGGGTTTTACGGGAGGGGGGGGGTCCTGTCCACAAGTCCCTGTGGTTTGTCAGTATTTTCATTTTTCAACCGCGTTACAACTCTAAGATCTGCAAGAGTAAAGCGCTCTTCTCTCTTTCTATATAATATAGTACTTTTGATCCAGTATTTTACTGATAATCCATTCCTCATAGATCGTATATTGTCTGAAACAGCGTTTCTACCACGAAAACACAAATGCAAGATTAACTTTTAACATATTTTTTGCTTCCTCCAGCATTTCTTGGAGATTTTTTCTGGGGTTTCCAAAGAGTGCAACACCAAATTACACTCAGTGGTATCAGATTTATTACATGTATTACATTGTAAGCTCGTGCTGTTCATAAGAATATCATCTCAATAAAACAAAATCAATAACCAATTACATGTATAAAAGAAATTTCAAAGTTTTTTTTTAATGTCGGCTTGTTAAAATTCAGACATGAATGATGAAAAAAAATAAGAGTGTATGTTTCTTACATGTTATTTACTCTTTAGCCATAAACACTTCCAAACACGTACAGAAAATGGATCATTTCTTCTTTCCTTTTGTAATATTAGATTATTTTGATAATCTACTGAAAAATATGATATGCATGGACACGCTTCAAAATGCTTGGCCTAGTGAAGTAGGATTCTTTTAAGTGAATTGTTAGAATAAAAAGGGTTCATGCCTCTGAGTACTCTCAGTATTAAATTTACTGGAAAAATGATTGAATTCATTTATTCAAAAATAATTTAAATGAATGTTACATATTTAACTATTTACTTATTTATCTATCTATTTATTTATTTATCTAGATCAGAGACATATAAAAACCATATATGTCTCTGTCTAGATCTATTTGTTAATTTATCAATTCATTCATTTATTACGTGTATTTCGGTGCGATGGAATTTTATAACTACAAAAGGCACATCATTTGGTTCAGTGGGTAAGGGGAAAAAAAACAGTTCGGCCATTTTTTCAAACGACATTCCGCGGAACGACTGTCTCACTTTCAATTTATAAAGTGAAAGTTGTAGGTTCGTAAACAAGGACTTCGAGTTCGCAAGAAGTAGGACTTCGATCTTGCCGGCGGAGAGATAGATATAGTGATCGATGAATGAAACTGCATAAGTAGGTTTTTTTAAACATAAAGCATTAACATTAATGGAAATGCATTCAATTTAATATTATGAAAATTTATGCCGGAAAGTGAAAGTAGGCTATGTAAACTTACTTCTTTCAGCAGCTGATATTGTAGCTCGGTGTCAAGGTGGTGTTCTATTCAGTGTTGTTTGTTTTATTTAATACCTGTCTAAATATGGTGATTCAAACTGAAATTCGCTGATATTGGTAGTTTTTGTGTGCATAGAAATTAAATTAATTGGGTATTTTTAAGACAGCTAACAGATGATCTGATTCAGTATCTCAGTCATCATATTCAGACAAACATAAAAGAACACCCATTGCACTAAAATAACTTACCATGAAAACGATCCCTGTGGATTATAGAGTACTGCCATATATTTTAAGATTGCAGTTAAGATTCTACCATGGATGACCAAAACATCCCAGACCCTGACCTTCTGTTTTCTTCAGAGGATGAAAAGACATTTGGATCTGAGTCAGAGCTACCCTCTCTTCCCTTGCCAGATCTCAATCACACATTACAGAGATATCTGGAGTCAGGTTAGTTACTCATTATAGAGATATTCACCAGACATCACAGAGATAAGTTACTGGTTACAGATCTCCATCACTCACTACAGTGATATCTGGAGTCAGGTGAGTTATAGTTTAAGACTTCCATCTCTATAAAACTAAAAAAAAAAAAATAGGTCTATCATCACAAACACTTATTTTTTAGGTTTAATCTACTAGGGTGTGATATATATATATATATATATATATATATATATATATATATATATATATATATATATATATTATTATTATAACAGTAACTTGATCCGAAGAGCTGTATCACGTCAAGTTGACAGGCGCGGATCATCAGATCAAACGAGACGAGACGCGAAGCGTCGAGTTTGATCTAATGATCCGCGCCTGTCAACGAGACGTGATATGGCTCTTCGGATCAAGTTACTGTTATAATGATAAATTTTTTATATACCCCTTTACAACTAGCAAAATATAATAAAATGAAACTTTTGGATCAATTACATAACTTTTATCCATTAAACAAACCATTTGTCAAGGAACTTTTTGATGCGCAAGAATAAAAACTTCATCATTTATCTGTGTACTACGTCATCAGTTTCCAAGAGGGCTGATATGGATTCAGAAAACCACAGTGTGGTGATCCGGAACATGATTGCATAAATTCAGCAGTAAAACAGAGTGACAAACAGTTGCGTATATAATAAAAATCCTTATCCTGCCTCTAATAAAAATCTTGAAATTTCATTGGTCAAGAAGAATTCTGTATTAAACCATATCATGCTGCTTACAGACATAGAATTGTTAATGTGCCCCCTCCACGTGACCTACCCACTGCATATCAAATCAATATGCCACGGCCCTCCATGTGCCATACTGTCCAGATTATATTAAGTATGTTAATTGTTTTCATTTGGGTAAGGAGCCTAATAACTGATGTCACATAAGCATCAAACGACGTAACAGTTGTTACGGAACGGTTTGGTTAACTCAGAGAAAGTCAATTTTATTAAAATATATTTGTTATGCAGACTTAGAGGGGTAATACGCAAATATGCAGGATTCTTGAAAAAATGCATATTGGGTGAGGCTTATGCCTTGCCCAATATGCATTTTTTCAAGGACTCCATATATTTCCGTATTACCCCTCTATGTGTCTACATAACTAATAGAATCAGTCCTTTAGATCCATATCAGTCCTGCAGGATCCATATCAGCCCTGGCAGCTGATATGACTGTTGTGATGTCAGGCATGTCAATATGCAAAAAACTTTATTAACTAAATATGTAATAAAATCTTATATATGATTAAGAGCACAGTCCATTAACTGACAAGATTGGAAATATGCAGCCAGCGTCATTTCCGTCTGTTACAGTCAAAACATTTGATGATATACAGTGAAACGGGCAGGTGCAATTTGGTGCAGGTGTCTGAGAAAACATTGGATTGAAATACCTTTTCAATCCACCTCAGCTACTCTCATACACACAGTGTTAATGATTGATCCACAAGACAATGTCAATTTCAGAATAGTTTGAAATTTTTATAAATCCAAGATTTCTGTCCAATATTTCTTAAAGAAATAATAGGACAACCATTGATTCCTGAAGGGGGATAGTAGATCTTGAAAATAAGTAGGAAAGTTTTTGGTTTTGGACACACACACACACACCCCTCCCCTCCTCCCTGTTTTTGTTTGTCAAACATTTTTCAAGGAAGAAAAAAAATAATATCTCTTGTTATCCTAGAAATAAATATACCGGTACAATGTATTTTGTTTTGTGAAGGCATGAACAGAAATAAATTTACCCCTCCACCCCCCTTTAGAATCAAATGGCTGTTCCCTGAAAGAATACATCTTTATTTTTATCTTCTATATATATTTATGATGTTTGCATGTCTTTCAGAAATTTTTGGATTAAATGCTGATCTATAGAGTATTCAAACTATTTGGGAACTTTGTGTATGAAAATAGCTTAGGTGGATTGAAAATCAACTTCAATCCAATATTTTCATAGATGTCCATATCATATTGTTCCCACCCATTTCATTGTCTATCATCAAATATTTTGACCGCAACAGATGGACATGACATAAGAAGCATTTTTCCAATCTTGCAAGTTAATGTACTGCAGTCTTAATACCAATAAAAGCTTGGCTCTGAATGATTTTTTTTTATGCTAAAATATTGATGATGATTGCACAAAATTTTTATTGTGCTTATTTATTTATAGTAGGCATTAAAAAGAGTTGCATGCATGGTCTTCTTAGATATAAATTAATTTCATATCAATTTCTGAAAAGCTTAGAGCTTTTTGGTTCTACACAATTTATTATTTTTAATCTGAAAAAAATTATAGTTGTTTGTTGTAAAGATTTCCATTGAATAAACTTTCAGTCTTTAAAAAGATAGGTTAATGATCATCGAGAAAAGTTCTAATTGTATCTTTTAATTATTTATTTATAGTTAAACCACATGTCACAGACGAGGAGTATAGACAGACAGAATTTATTGTTCAGCAGTTTGCCTCAGGTGTTGGAAAGGAGCTACACCAAAAATTAGCAGAGAAAGCCAGGAATGAAAGAAACTGGGTAAGTGTGCAGCATAAAGCCAGGAATGAAAGAAACAGGGTAAGTGTGCAGTATAAAGCTAGGAATGAAAGAAACAAGGTAAGTGTGCAGTATAAAGCTAGGAATGAAAGAAACAGGGTAAGTGTGCAGCATAAAGCTAAGAATGAAAGAAACAGGGTAAGTGTGCAGTATAAAGCTAGGAATGAAAGAAACTGGGTAAGTGTGCGGCATAAAGCTAGGAATGAAAAAAACAGGGTAAGTGTGCAGCATAAAGCTAGGAATGAAAGAAACTGGGTAAGTGTGCAGCATAAAGCTAAGAATGAAAGAAACAGGGTAAGTGTGCAGTATAAAGCTAGGAATGAAAGAAACTGGGTAAGTGTGTGGCATAAAGCTAAGAATGAAAGAAACTGGGTAAGTGTGCAGCATAAAGCTAAGAATGAAAGAAACTGGGTAAGTGTGCGGCATAAAGCTAGGAATGAAAGAAACAGGGTAAGTGTGCAGCATAAAGCTAGAAATGAAAGAAACTGGGTAAGTGTGCAGCATAAAGCTAAGAATGAAAGAAACAGGGTAAGTGTGCAGTATAAAGCTAGGAATGAAAGAAACTGGGTAAGTGTGCGGCATAAAGCTAGGAATGAAAGAAACTGGGTAAGTGTGCAGCATAAAGCTAAGAATGAAAGAAACTGGGTAAGTGTGCGGCATAAAGCTAGGAATGAAAAAAACAGGGTAAGTGTGCAGCATAAAGCTAGGAATGAAAGAAACTGGGTAAGTGTGCAGCATAAAGCTAGGAATGAAAAAAAACAGGGTAAGTGTGCAGCATAAAGCTAAGAATGAAAGAAACAGGGTAAGTGTGCAGTATAAAGCTAGGAATGAAAGAAACTGGGTAAGTGTGTGGCATAAAGCTAGGAATGAAAGAAACTGGGTAAGTGTGCAGCATAAAGCTAAGAATGAAAGAAACTGGGTAAGTGTGCGGCATAAAGCTAGGAATGAAAGAAACTGGGTAAGTGTGCAGCATAAAGCTAGAAATGAAAGAAACTGGGTAAGTGTGCAGCATAAAGCTAAGAATGAAAGAAACAGGGTAAGTGTGCAGTATAAAGCTAGGAATGAAAGAAACTGGGTAAGTGTGCGGCATAAAGCTAGAAATGAAAGAAACTGGGTAAGTGTGCAGCATAAAGCTAGGAATGAAAGAAACTGGGTAAGTGTGCAGCATAAAGCTAGGAATGAAAGAAACTGGGTAAGTGTGCAGCATAAAGCTAGAAATGAAATAAAATGGGTAAGTGTGCAGCATAAAGCTACATGCAGGAATGAAAGAAGCTGGATATGTGTGCACATCACATTATAAACTGCCTCTGTACCTAGGCTATAAAGGTTATTGACAATTTTGTTTATTTACCAGAATATTGAAACATAATTTTTATGCATTTTTTTTTTCAATTGCACAAATGACGTCTTGTAAAATTTTACAGTGAACTGTACATGCATACCCCAGTATATTTCATACATGTGATAATTTTTATAATCAATGCCAATTATTTTTTCCCCTTTGCTAGACCTTGAAGATGAGACTCCTATTCTTAGAGGGCAACATTATTTAAGAAATAAAGTCCGCGTTATCGTGAATGTTGCAGGATAACCTCACAGGTCGAGAAATGTTGTCTGAAATATAAAAGCCGAGGCGTTAGCCGAGGCTTTTATATTTCAGACAACATTTCGAGACCGAGGAGGTTATCCTGCATCATTCACGACAACAAGGACTTTATTTCTATTCTACTAACGGCTCTAAAATACAGTTGATCGTTTCCTCTATAGAGAAACGAATTAGGTCACCATGTCGCAATTTCGCTGTTAAATTTAACACCAGAGGGTGAATCGATTGCATAAAATGCAGACGATTTCAGCTTTTGCTGGATTAAAAATATCCTTTAATTATTTATAAATTTGCTTGTAACATATATTGATTAATTTTTATGAATGAAAAATAACAAAACCAGTTGTCTTTTTCATTGATTTATCAGTAAAATCACGGGAGTGTAAATGTTATGGGGAGGTCCGTAGAACAGCCCCACTTGGCTATAAAAACGATATTTATCAGCTGTTTCAGGCAATACACGTTTAGACTGCGGAAGACGACACATCGATATGGTCTAAATAAGTATTAGATTATACAGTGAAATATTTATTTCAACTGTACAGATTTGACATATGTTTCTGATCTGATAATTTTTTGATGACGTTCGTGATTTATTGGAGAATAATGTCCGCGGCATTTCTTTGATCTCGGCAATAATCGTAGTAGAATTTTTTTTTATGTCTTTCAACCAATCTCATTCAAGTAATTTACATGAAAGAATAAATAAAACAAACATTATAGTGTGTCCTATGTGACCACTTCTATGTCATTTTTAGCTCACCTTGACGAAGTCGAGATGAGCTTATGCTATACCCCCGGCGTCGGCATCCCAGTTAAAGTTTTAGGAGCAAGTCTATTCCCAAGTAACTGTAAGCCCTACCTGGACCAAACTTGCATGGATGATGCATCTAGGGATGGACACTACCACACTTGCTTTGGATGCTGGATCTGACCTAGATTTTCCAGATGAGTGACCAGGTTAAAGTTTTTGGAGCAGGTCCATTCCCAAGTAACTATAAGCCCTACCTTGACCAAACTTCCATGGATGATGGATCTAGGGATGGACACTACCACACCTGCTTCGGATGCTGGATCTGACCTAGATTTTCCAGATGAGTGCCCAGGTTAAAGTTTTTGGAGCAGGTCCACACCCAAGTAACTATTAGCCCTACCTGGACCAAACTTGCATGGATGATGCATCTAGGGATGGACACTACCACACTTGCTTAGGATGCTGGATCTGACCTAGATTTTCCAGATGAATGACCAGGTTAAAGTTTTTGGAGCAGGTCCATTCCCAAGTTACTATAAGCCCTACCTGGACCAAACTTGCATGGATGATGCATCTAGGGATGGACACTACCACACTTGCTTCAGATCCTGGATTCCACCTAGATTTTCCACATGAGTGAATTTTAGCCATATTTTAACCAAAAACCATGGATGATGTAGCTAGGCATGGTCACTTCCAGACTTGCTTTGGATTCTGAATCTGACCTACATTTTCCAGATGAGTGACCAGGATAATTTTTTGGGAGTAGCTATATAACATTATGGCCTGTTATGATTAAACTTGCATAGTTGGTGCATCTAAGGATGAAAACTTCCAGACTTACTTTGGATGTTGGAACAGACCAAAATTTTCTTGATTAGTAAACAGGATAAACTTTTTTTAATAGGTCTATTTCCAAGTAACTATAAGTCTTACTTAAACCAAACTTGCTTGGACATTGATCTTGGGATGTACACTAAATAAAAAAAAATATGATGTGAACTTTGCCTTACTTAAAGATAACATTCATCGAGGTGAGCCTCGTAATCTTTGATTACCTATGTTTATGATAGCAAATATTTAAATTAATGATAATTGTCTTGAAAGAAAAAAAACTATTAAATTTTATTGTTTTATCATTTCCAAATCACTCAGATTAAGTACATATAATTTGAAACAAACAAATATGACACAATTAATGTTTCCAAATTAATCAAAATTAAGAAAATTAATTTTGGTTATTTCAGTCAACAGCATGAGAGATTATCAATATTTCCAGAGATTATCCAAGTATGACATTAAATCTATTCCAAACATGCAGTACATCGTAAAGTCATTGATGTCAAGCAATTGAAAGTCATGACTAAAAACGATCCAATCCCTTTCCAAAGTGGCCAATGGTCATTTTCATAATGTTAATTCTCCTGTAAACTTTGAATGTACTGTTTTGTCAATATACAATTTGAGCTGAAAAGTTTGGGAAAAAAGTGATCTATTGATAAAACCTAACTTAAAGGCCATTGTATATATTTATTTATTTTGAGATAAGATGCAAAAACGTTGCTACAATGGGACAGAAAATAAAAGTGCTAATCCAAGATTGCACAAATTAGTTATTGACCTTCATTTGCCCAAAATTCTCAAGAAATGTAAATCAGTGCACTTAGTCCTCTCAATCCTTAATGCTCTAAATCTTGATGACGCCCAGATTATGATTTGGGTATTATCCAAACACAATGTCACAATGAAAGCGCTTATCCAAAATTGCACAAAATATTATAGGACTCTTTTGCTTTATTTTTCAACAATTCAAAATAAGAACATATAAAAGTTTACAGTATTTCCTGCGACAAACTTTTCATGTCTCTCATTTTCTTGTTTTATCTCAGCTAGAGAAATGGTGGGAGGAGAAGGGGTATCTAGAACTGGGTATCCCCCTGGCTCCCTTTATGAACCTGATTGGTTTAGGCCCCTATAACAATCATTACTGGACCCCAAAGACAGGAACCCAGCTAGAAAGGGCGGGAATTGTGCTGCACTACGACATCAAGTTCTGGCAGTTCATCAGAAGGTAACACAATGGCATGTTACATGAAACATGATGATGTGCTAAATGATTTCTCATAAATGCTATGTATCAGCATGTAGGTGTCTTGTAAAAATTATTTTGCTCTTTTTTTTTTTTTTTTACTTTTTATAGTCTTTTTTCTGGTTCTTTACATTGAGTATTATTATTTCACACTTAAAAATCATATGTGAAAGAGATGGTTAATAAAGAAATTTAACACATCATTGATTTTTTTTGTTGATTTACATCACACTCTATTTGCACTGTATTGTCTATTTTGTATTCCTTTTATAAAGACCATGATTTTGATTGATAAAGTATTAATTATAAAATAAATTTCATGCTAGTTAGAACCAATATATTGTACTTTTATTATATAGCTAATAGCTATAGATAGTTCATAATAAAAATCTACTAAAAGTCTAGAGAATTTTAGCATTCAATATCTTGGCGTTTTATTGAACGCTGAGTTTGTATTACGTATATGAGTATGTCCAAAACATTCGGAATACGAGCGTTCATTATCTAATGCCCCATTGTAAACAAAAAATGTTGCCTGGTCAAATTTATGATAGGTAGTGACAGCTAGGTAAGATGTGTTTATTTTTACGCAAAATTGAGATTATTAATTGATAACTTAGTACGTATTAGCCTCAACAAAACCTCAATAAGCAAATCATAATGCTTGGTAGGGTCAATGGAATGATGCGTTATTGAATACGTACAGGAGAGACGATAATTTAAATACCGATACTGAAAATTCTTATTAATTTGAGTTATTAATTGAAATAATTGATATAAATCAATGGGAGATGTTTTAGCTATATAATAAAGGAGTTATTGAACTTGTGTTGGTGAATATTGGCACTCGTTGGCTGTACAAATGCACTCGCAAACTCATGCATTAGTATAGCCAACTCGTGCCAATATTCACCAATATAAGTTCAGTAACCCTATATTATTGCTAACTCGAAATGATGCTACTCGCAGGGGTCTGGGTACAGGATCATGACCTTGCTGTTGTTTATATTTTTTTCAATGTCATACACAATGCTGGTTGAGTTTTAATCTATTATGATGGATTTAAGATGTGGCATATACCTGACACTTGTTTATTCTTACAATCTTGATTATAAATAGATGCTTCACGTACCAGTTGGTACATAACATTGATGGCATTTCTTATTTAAATTCAGATCTAAAGTATGCATGTATATGAATAGTATAATGAACATTGAATTTCATAGGGAGACATTAAAAGTGGAAGTAGACAATAAAGGGAGAAAACTCTGTATGAACCAGTTTAGGAGGGCATTCTCCACTTGCAGAGTTCCAGGGGTCTTTAAGGATCAACTGATTTCTCATTTTAAAACAGGTCAAGTATTTCATTTGGGCTACTATCCTCTCCATGCTCTCATTGAGAAATGGATAGGGAAATTACAAAATATTAACTTCATGGGTTTCTTTTTTTTTGGTTGAATGTAACTTAGTTCTCATGCAATTACCATAAGAGAAGGCTCAGTTTATGAGCTCCATATCTATAATGTGTAATCTTACTGTAAACAGAGTGCGGGGTTTGACCTACGTGTACAATCATACGGGAGGTTTATGATGTACATGTGGAATATACAACCCACACATGTGTATATTCTTCTTGAGAATAATAACGGAGAAGAGAGGGGTAATGCTGGTACATTATGTTTATCAACAGAATCAGAGGGCCCTACACCCCTTCATGCTGTGGTGTTATATAAAGGGCGGTTCTTCTGTTTCGATATTGTGGATGAGAACGAGGAACCACTGAGACCCCCAGAGATACAGCAGCAGCTGACCTTAATCAAAGAACAGTGTGACAGGGAACCCCCAGGTATCGGGCTTGGGGCTCTAACAGGGGAAACGAGAAAGAAATGGGCAGAGGTTTGTAGTCTACACTACTCTCAGTAGGGAATATACACTGTATTTCATGTCTGTAACAACTAGAGAATTATTAATCAGTACTTGCCAAAACTGTATATTAGACTAAGTGTACATTGTCCATACAGTCGAACTTTGTTATCTTGAACACTGAAATCTCAAATACCATGTATATGTCGAACTGATTTGGAAGTCCCAACCACTTATTCTTTTAGTATATTACCCTTGATATCTCAAATCTTCCAATACATGTATCTCTTAAGTTTTTTCTTGGTCCCAATGAGTTTGAAATAACAAGGTTTGACCGTTTATACTTGGATTTATATGCACCAAAACAAGCTTTCATACACCTTACTTATTTTGACTCATAGATAATAATGAATATTCTATCAACATTAAAATACATGAATATTTTTTATCATATTAAGATGAACTGTGTTAATTGTGAGCCAAGATGCTAACGTTTAGCAAGATGTCTACTAAAAGTTGTGAATTTTACAGTTCAGAAGTCGACTTTGTGCTTTGCATCCAGAGAACTTTCACAACCTGAAGAAAATTGAGACAAGTATATTTACTATTACACTTGATGATTCTGAGCCAAAAGATAATTCTGAGGTAGGTCTAAAGATATTCTCTAAAGTCTAATGATTACATATTTACAGAAACTTTATTCTTAAATGAGAGAAAGAAGATGCTCTTAAATCAAGGGGCAGATCCAGGAATTTGTCGGGGGGGGGGGGGGGGGGGGGGTCTAAGTTTATAATCTAGTCTGCGAATAAAAGATAAACCTTTTAATCCTTTTTTTTACTTTCAGGCATTTACCTACTCAGGGGGAGAAACAAACTCCAGAGACAGATGGTTTGACAAATGTGTCAACCATATTTTCTACGAAAATGGAATATGTGCTTGCAACTGTGATGTAAGTTAGTTATACTCTTTTTTTCCCTTTATATTATTTGTTGACTTCTGTATAATATTCCCACATAAACAATTTTTGAGAGATATTGTTTTGGATTTTTTTTTCAGCATGCTCCTTTTGACGGAATGGTCATGGTGACAAGTACTTATTATATTGACCTTAATGTTCAAAGGTCAAAGGGCAGATGGCAGGTAAATAATTAAGAGAGAAAAACAGAGTAACCTTGGCAATGTTACTAAATTTATGGAGTTACATATATGAGGTAGATGTAATATAATTTGTGCTAGTCCTTCTCAACTGATCATTGTGTGAATTGTCAGTTTTTGTTTTCAGTGTAATATCTATCTATCTATCTGAAAATTTTGCTGTTCTTGCAGGGTTCTATGGAAATTAGAAAACTTCCAAAACCAACAGAATTAAAATTCCATGTTGACAGTGTCATTATGGAGGCTATTCTTGCTGCTGAGAAATTCTTCTTAGCTAATGTAAGCATACCAAGTCACAATGACTGCTCATATCTTTTTTTCTCAAATCATGTTCTATTCTACATACATTTGTATAATGAAGCTTTTTTTTTAAATTTTAGCTGAGATATGTTCTAAACAAGAAATGAGAATTGTTTTTAATCTTTTTGGAAAGCAAATAGCCTGATAATTCATGTATCTAGAACATTCTGTGTTTACCCAGGTATTCTGAGCAATTGAAGTAAATCATAATACGTGGTACAATGGTCAACAGAAGAGTCTTTATATTCACCCGAGGCTTGGATATAGATTGAATAATAAAATTAGTAGTATAGTTCATCTATTTGCTGTAGATATATTAAAGAAAATAGTTTTGTGTTGTAAATTTTTTCTTGTCTGTAGAGCACTGTAAACATACTATTATTCAAACAACTTTTAATCGTCAGTTGGAAATTCACCCGCCACTGTTTATTTTTGTAACTGATTAGAATTTTTCCCAAGTGCTAAAATAGACAGCGAAGTTTTGATATGAGAGTGACAAATTCTGCATCAATTAACTTTTTAGTTTTCCTAGCTGACAGTGTGATCTAAATTTCAGGTTTCTTTTTTTTAGGCAAGTAACCTATCCTGTACATCATTTAAATATAAACAATACGGCAAGAAAAAGTTACGGAAGTACAAACATCACCCTGACACGCACGTACAACTGGCTCTGCAGTATGCTTACTACAAAACCCACAACAAGTAAGACAGTTATATATATAGTGGGGGGGGGGGGGATTTTGGTAGTGAAATGTTGAACAATCATAACCCTTCAGTAATAAAGAGAAGGGGTTCAAAATATTATGTCTGATGGAAGTCAAGGTTATTTAAGACTGCAACATATTAAACCCTCTTAATTTAAAAAATATAGGAGGATCAATATTTTATGGTCATAATATCTTGAACCCCTCCCTCTTAATTAAAAAAAAGATAGGGGGTATCAATATTTTATGGTCATAATATCTTGAACCTCTCTTAACTGTAGAAGATGAATTGTAAAGCCCCCATATAACCATAATATTATGAACCCACTGGGTTCAATATTTATAGGGGTTCATTATATAGCAGTGAAAAAGTGAACCTGGGTTCAAAATACTATGTGCTATATTGAACCAGGGTTCAGTATTTCATGGTATCAAAATATTATGCTAATCTGGGTAAAGTAATTCCTAAGTGTCCCATTGCTTTGCAGGCATCACAAAAATATAAAGATTTTTACTTGAAATACAAGGTAGCAATTTGTAAATTTGACTTATTTTTGTGAAATATACACAAGGTAACCAATGAAATGGTATGTAAATGACACAATAAAAAAATTATTATTCAAATGTTGATATAGAGACAATTTTATTCCATATTGTAGACCAGCTCCTGTATATGAGACTGCAATGACAAGAAGATTCTACCACAGTCGGACAGAAACCTTAAGATCGTGTACTGTGGAGGCAGTAGAGTTCTGTAAAGCAATGGGTAGTCCCAACGCTTCAGTAAGTTTTAATTCCTAACAGATTGAGAAGTTTGCAGACAACTTCGGTAACTAACAGAAGTGTGCCGATTAGGCTTCGATCAATAACAAAATGTGGTCATGCAATGCAGCTTTCTTCTTTGATGCTACATACAAATGTGTGAGCTTCAGTTTTAGATTTGTACATGGATTCAAGCATTTTAATTCATGGGATTTTCAATGTTTGTAGCTAATAAACATCATACAGGTTAATGGAGACATAATTTTGTTGGTAACACATATGTACAGAACAATATGTTGACAAAGTCATGATTCATGGGGATGTAAATTCGTGGGTAATCCACAAAATCTGAGAGAACTGTTCCCTAGATTCCACAATATACTATATGGTAATACTGCTGTAGAATTGTTGTCTGAAAAGGCATTGCTTATTGACAAAACGCAGGTAATCAAACCCAAAGGTACAGGAACAGTATTTTCAAGATTTAAGGATAAAAAATGAGATTCTATAAAAGGTCAACCCAGACATTATAATGAATTAGAATTGTTTATTTAAATATTTAATCACATTATTATTAGATTACATATTTTATTGTTTTAGGTTCAAGAGCAGAAGTTTGCATATATGAAAGCAGCAAAAAAACATAATAAATTAATGGACGAAGCAAAGGAATTGAAAGGTATTATGCTGTCCCAAAAAGTCGAGGACACGACAGCTAGCAAACTTAATTTATTCTCTAGGAATAAACCGTAGATGCTACAACAAAATATAAACAATACAATGTAGCACATGCAAAAACGTATCATAGGTCAGGGAGTACATTACCGATAAGCAATTAATTCATTCATGACCAAAATATTTAAATGCATAAATTAAATACATCATAGATATTGAAAGAAATGCACTATTTATCACTTATATAATGGTGAAAATGAAATAACAAAAATACATACACTGTGGGGTCTGTAAAACACCATCGATAAAATTCATAACATGAAAAGCTCGTGGAGCGGAAGAAGTATATTGAACATAAACACCAAAACCAAATACCTAAAAATTTTCCGGAACGGAACACTCCCTGCCTAATATTGGTATTATTATAACAATATTACTACATAATCATATTAAATTTAACAAACACATTCCTATTCATACATTACAGTACAAAAATAAGAAAATATGGTGCAGTGACCAGGATCCTACACATAATATTTCATTGCACTACACAAAATGATTTTCAAGGTTAAATTAGAATAAAATTTAACAGTTAATTACTCACTTCAAACTGGCAGTTTAACTGACATAAAACTGTTAATCTATGAGTCGAATAAGTTCACTTATTGGTCTTGTATATGTACACGGTTTTCCATTAATCATAACACGCACAGAAGCCTTCCGCACGAGTCCATCTGCACTGGGGAAAACTTCTTCCACAAGACCAATAGACCACTGACATCTTGCAGACTCACGATCCTTGATGACTACTACATCTCCAACCTTCATGTTTGTTCTTTCAGATGTCCACTTGCGACGGGATTGTAAGTTCTGAAGGTAATAGGTTTTCCACTGTTGCCAGAATAAGTCAGATAAGACTTGTACTTGCTTCCACTGTTCTTTGTATATATCACGTATGTCAACATCCATACACATAGAATAGTGACCGGATATCTTCTGATTCAAAAGCATTGCTGGACTCAACACAAATGGTACCTCAGGATCGTTAGATATAGTAGTAATTGGTCTTGAATTAATTATGGCTGTCACTTCGGCCATCAATGTACTAAGTACCTCGTGAGTGACATTTTTTCCTTTAGGTCCTAAGAGTAGTGTATCCAATACTCGACGTGTTAATCCAATCATTCTCTCCCACACTCCTCCCATGTGGGAAGAGTGGGGAGCATTGAATGTCCACACAATCTTCGACTTATCAAGGAAGTTTTTCACTGGTCCTTTTGTTACGTCAATCCCAAGATCTTCTGTAGCTCCGATAAAGTTAGTACCTCTGTCTGATCGAAATAAAGACACATTCCCACGAAGTGCGATAAATCTACGTAACGCATTGATGAAAGATGAGCTGGACATTGACTCCACTAACTCAATATGAATTGCTCTAGTTGTCAAACATGTAAACATAATGGCCCACCGTTTACTTTCAGCTTGTCCTCCACGTGTTTTACGTGTGACGATGGTCCAGGGTCCG